AAATAGTGTTTTGGTCGATAATATTCCAGTGGAAGAAGTAGTTGAAATTAAATATCTTGCATTAATAATTGATAATAAATTAAACTTTAAATGCCACTTAAATTATATATTTAAGAAAATAGCGAAAAAGATTTACTTTCTTTCCAAGATACGTAATCAAACATATTCAAATACTTGTAAAAGTTTATAATTCTGTTATAAAGCCACATTTTGAATACTGTTCAACGGTGTTGGCGTTTTGTTCAGCTGGTTCAGATTGAAAGACTGCAAAAATTATAAAACAAAGGAATGCGCATAATTCTCAGGTGCAGTAGATATACGCCAACTATCTCTATGTTGGATGCTTTACAATGGCTTAGCGTAAATCAAAGATTAAAGTTGGATGTTTATTTATTTGTTTTTAAAATGAAGGCAAAAATGTTACCTGGGTATTTGTGCAATAGGCTTATTTACATTGAAGATGTACATCATCATTTCTTAAGAAATATTTTCAACTTTAGGCTGGACTTTTTCCGTACTGAAGGTACCAAAAAATCTGTACTATATAATGGCGTTATCTAAAATCCGTTTTTTTTTCAAATTTTTGATGTTTTTCTTCTAGACCCCAGGTTGTGAAAGCCTAAAATTCAGCATTTAGTACTTTTCTTAATGCTTCAATTTGCTGGACAGCATATATCACTAAGACTAAAACCCTGTTTAATAAAATTAATTTTTATCGAAATATCGAATTTCAGCTGTTTCTATCTTGAATTCTTCATTATGTTCTGTATTTTCTTTTATTAGAATTGCACTACCTCCTCTCGGCTGATTGCTGGGATGTGCCGCTTTATAGCAATCAAAGCATTTTATTCTAAGACCCGTATTATATGTCAAATGAGCTTCCGACTAGAAGCAAATATCTATATGTCTTGTTTTAAAAAAAATCTATAATTCTTTTTTCTTATTAAGAACACCATTCGTATTCCAAGTTACAAAACGTATTTCATTTACGTACATCTTTTCTTAATTTCTTTGGTGTCCCAGTAAGCACCCCAATGTATCTATTTTCTATTTTTAATATACTTTTAAAGATCGCGTCAATTCTAATTAATATACATCATTTACATAATATCTGCGTCAGTTCTTTGTATTTGTGGGGTTTTGTTCTCAGCTTCCTTGTAGATTTGTAAATCAGGGGCAACAGCGCACCACGATCCCGTATAAGGATCTATTAAACGTCCCCCTCCCCCTCCGAGTGCGGAGCATACCCTACAATACACGCCCGAGACCACCCTCCTGATGATTTCAAGTAATTTAATTTAATTTATTGTTTTGTAATATTATGAAAAAAATAATGAGTAGGTATAAAAAAAAATAAGAATAAAAATATTTACTTTTGCTTATTTCTTACTGAAAATGAAAAATGTAAAAATGTTTGTATTTATAATTTTTAAAATTAAGATTTAAATTCTACAAGTGGTTGCTTGAGGTTCTCAAGTTCGGTTGAACTGATTTTGGTGAAATATTATAAGTGGGTTAACTCCAACTGTGGATTGACAAACTTTTGGGGCATATCAGGCTTTGGGAACTGCACTTTTTGCGGACCTGTTTAATATTTTTGATAATTTTGAAGAAAATATTCATCAGATTTACTTGAAATTTCATATATAAATTAAATTCTAAATCATCAAAAATGTAAATTTTCACAATGACTTACAATAAATTTCAAAACACTATTTAACTTGATTATGATAGTGGTAATGGTTTGGATACCTGCATGTATTGAAATTTCGCACCATAAAATATATTAGTGAAGCTAATGTCTTTGATAAAGTCGTTGGAATTTGCTTGGCTCCTTCTGGTAACTGCTTGCAGTAGTTGCCTTACAATGTTGAAAACGTTGTACTGATATTTTGCATAAATTAATGTGGTAATACGGCAACTTAAAGTCATAATCTGTCCCATAGTCAGCTATGGCATATTTATTCGCTAATAGGGTAACAAATTCGTACGGGTATCACAGAGTTGACACAGTCAACTCTATTTTTTCTCATTTTATTTTGTCACACAAATAATAAATATAATTATATCACTAAATTTGAATTAAAATTTAAACAACAGATAAAATTGTTTTACACCTCAGCCACGCAACTTTTTTGTTCGAAATTTATATGTGTGCTAAAGAAATTGAATATTTTTTTGAAAAAAAAAATTGAATACACTCATATGCAAATATATGAAGATGCCTTGTGTACATTATAGGCGTTTATGACTATGGAGTCTTGAGAATAAAGATGTCTGTGATGAGAATTAGAACTTATTCATTTATTCACATAAGCATTGCATTTGCATTGTATTATATTTTTTTGTTTCTTTTTATACCTACGTAGATTTGTATATGTTGTCTAAATTTTAATTTGAAATGACACAGACATTTTCTATTTTCGAAGGGAAATTAGTTACTACCTTAATTAAAGCTGTTTAAAATTTTTTATTATTTTTTATAAAGAACAGTATTAAGAAATTTTCATTTCTCAGCAATATTTACCAACCGCATTGTGTATGCAATAGGTACGTTTATAATTGTGTGATGACATCAAATTTTGCATATCGAGTTTTCGATAGGAATGCACTTCTGCATGATAGGAAAGTGTAAATAAAATATTTTTATCAACCTGTCGGTCTGTCGGTTGTGTGTGCACACGTGTATCTTAAGTTCGGCTGATAGACGGTTACAACGGGCCAAATATACATTTTTGCGTATATAAAGGGAAATAATCAACCGATTTCATTAAAATTTAATATTTAAATTCTGCGTACTAAAACAATTAACATATAAATTTTTTGGAAAGATCAAGGCTCGAAAACTGATCTGCAGGCCGATTTTACATTTTTCACGATGTCTATGGAACGAATTGATGGAATTTCATGATATTTGATATTTGAGTTTTGGTTGTTACCGAAACTAACTGGCAAGTATTTCAGGGAAGTAGATAAATTTACATTTATCTAGTTATGTTAACCATAACCTTACTATTGTATTAAAAATTGGAAAAAAGTATTTAATAGACATTTTTATAATTTATTCTGTAATACACTTTTACTTTACTAGAAAATACACATTGCGGTCGGTTATGTGCTGATCATATCAGATTTTTTTCTTTATTTGCTAATGTTATAAACCAATGTTTAAACTAATACGTGTTAGTTACTAGTTGTAATAAACTAATTGTATTTTTATATTAAAGTAATTTTTGTCACCTGCGAAAAGCTTTGAAAAAATATTACACAAAAGAAGTGTAATAAATATATGTATACACATAATATTATCTGTTAAAATATTGTTAATCAATGTTAAGACAGTTAGTCGAAATAAAATACTTCAATATTAAACATAATTATGACACCAAGTGCACATAAGATATGAACTATAACGAAGTAATATTGTCTTAGTTACTAACATATTCGCTGAAATTTTGAAAACTAGACGAGGCAAAAAATCTTATGTCGACTTAAGAAAACTGAGTGTCTAAAACGTGACAGGGCAAAATCTTATGTCGACTTAAGATAATTTTTATATTAAGATAATTAAAGAAATATCCGAAAATAAAAGAGGCATGTTACTTAAGATGTTTTGCCTTGTTTGGAATTGAAAAATATAGATTTGAGGTGGTTTTACCAGGTCTATGAAATGGAAATGGGAGATAGAGACACCGGAGTCAGAGCAAAACATAGGTCTGGTATTGAAGAGTTCAAAAACGTCTCAAAAGACAAAACCTCTTAAGTCGACCTTGTAATTTATAGTTAAAATTCGCACACTTAAACATTGTTCTATCGTATTCTTGGAGATGGAGCAGTCCCAATTAATAATTTTTTGGTAAAATCAAAAAGTCCCGGTAGAATTTCATCTGTGTCATTTTTTTTTTGACATTTTAGTGAACATGGAATTTAATGACTGGTACTCTCAAGCCCACGTCTTTCATTCATTTTAATTCATTTGCCCTTCTAGAAGGACAGAAAAAAAGGGCACAAGATAGGTTTGAAATGAAAAGATATAGAAGAGTAGGGCAATGAAAAGATTTATTTTTATAATATTAAGATCTTTCGAATACGTAATTATGTAAACCCTGCAGAATGCATGTAATTTTAACAACACAGGTTATATACCTGCCTCAGAAAATTCTAAAATTTGCACTTTTCAGGCTCTAAATAGTGGACCCAGATATATTAGGTCCAAAAAGGTGCAATAACAGATTACGATAAAAAAATTATAATGTATCCATAAGATATAACCGAAACCCGGAAATTTTGGGGTAGTTTTGCAGGGTTAAAAAAAATAAGATTGAAAATTCAAACTGGTTAATATCCGTACTAACTTCGAAGCAGTTGAAGTTTGAGCAATGTGTTGTTCGCAGCTCTTTATTTCCTTTTCTTTGAATAGTTTCTTAACACAAACTATTACTTTAACTAACAAAAAGCACGTGTGATGTGAAAACTATGTTTTCTAAAAACTTTCAGTTTTCTAAACCAAAATTTCATGTCGAGCTAGCTATTACTGCCCTACTAAATACTAAAACTACCGTTTTTTGTGTAGGTCCATTAATTAAATGGCTCTAGAAGGCACATTGTTCTAGCTTCAGCTGCAACGAAGTTGTTTCGAATATTATTCGCATAGAATATTTTTATGTGATTTTCCTTTAATCTCAGAAACTATTCTTAGGCGCCCAAACTCTTCTCCCCACTTACACAAACAACATTGAACACTAAAAAAATTTTAATAACTGTTGATCTAATTAAAAATTATTTAAATAACAACTTCATTTTACCTGAATGACCGAATATAATGGCAACATGTAAAGGTGTTGCTCCTCTTGGAGAAATAACATCTCGAGCAATAGCAAATTTTCTTCGGTCAAGAGCCATTTTCAATTCGTCCAAGTTGCCATATTTTGAAGCTAAATGAACTCTCCTAATTTTGCTCTATTTCAAAACATATTACATAAAAGTTTTTTTACATTGCTTTATAAATAGATTTTAATTACCATGTACAGCGGCACATTATCTAAAAACTCTTGAATATCCTTATGTTCTGACCGAGCACCTAACAGTTTGTTTCCTTCACCATTTAAAACAGTAGATGCCAATTGTTCCATATCGAGCATTTCAATTCGATAATTATCAGAGCTTCCTTCCTTTACCAAATAAAAATAATTAAAGTTGGTGTTATCTATAGAGCCAATGGGGTAACATTATAGTGGATATTTGTAAATTTTATAATTCGAAGTATAAAGTATTAAATCAATTATAAATGAAACTCAATCTACGAAGAAATAATATACATTATAAGCATTGAATTGAACTAATAATTGAAAGCTACTCATAAACTATTTAAATACACATTGTAATAATTTCTGTTTAAACATGATAATTTCAAACATTATAATCGTATAACAATTTTAACACTTCATGTATTAACAATAAGTGGTCTTCCCCAGAATGCGTGAGACCAGCCTCCGAAGAGTGTGAATTTTCCAGATATACTGCGTTACCACCTGGGGTATCAAATCCTTTTGTTTTGTTCATTACATTGCTTTTGTTTTATTTTAGAGTTAACTTCTCTTAGCCTTTGCCAATAAATACCTCGTGCAAGGCAGTCTACCCAATTTCTGCCATTCCTCAGGGAACAGTCTCAGACCAGACAGCTATTCATTTTGGATCAAACGCTTCTGGATTTGTACTGGATTTTAGTGGACTCTTACCACAATCATTCCTACTGCGGCTATTTCGCACCCCCACATGCCGGGCTAGTTCTGCGAACTCTAAGCGCTTTTTTCCATTTTTATTGTTAATAAAAGGTTTTTTTTCTCGACACGCTCCCACTGTGACTATGATTTTTAATAGACCGCCTAGCTGTTTCTGCGCTTACATCTTTTGAAAGTTGAGCTCTTACTATTTCTACGAGGATAAGTAGAAGTACTTATTTTTGAGTTATTTTTAATTTCTCGGAGAATAATGCATATTTCACGGTTATTTAAAAGCTTTCTATTTAAATTTCGTGGCTTATTCACTATTTTCTTCAGTATAAAATTTTATAATATGCTGAATTGTAGAACGACTCTTTTCCACTAATGTACCAAACTCTGAAAGCGATTTGCGGTTTTTATAATAGACTACACCAGTGGTCGCAATAAGATTTTATGTATCGTGCCAAAAAAGATGTGTTTTTTCAAACCAACATTTCGGCGTGCCGAATCTGTGGTTTGAATCTATTTAATCTATTTAAACCTTGTTTTGAAAAATTGGGATAACAGTAAAAATTCAAATTCAAATTTGAAACCAAATTAGAAATTATGTTTTTAATAATATTTTTTTTACTGAGTTTAAGCGCAATTATATTTTTGATGAAAAAAAATTAAAAATAAGAAAATTGTGTCTTGGAAAGTAACAAAGTAAATAAAAAAACTTTTTTAAAAATAAAAATTTATTTTCATATGCTTATCACGCGTGCCAGCAAAGTTTCGAAGCGCGCCAATCTTCGCACGCGTGCCACGTAATTGCGATCATTGGACTACACAGTAGAAATTATGTATTCACACACTCTTAATAATTATTATTGATCGAAACTAAAAGAAATTATTTACAACTATCAAAACAAACATTGCATGATTTATTTCCAAGAATTTTTTACTTCTTTCTAAAACAAATATTTTTTAGTCAACATACCTTAAAAAAAATTTAAATTTAGCTCTTATTAAAGGCTCAATTTATCCTAACCAAATCCCCTGAAAAGTTTGCCGGTTAGTTTTGGTAGCAAACAAAATTTAATTTTTTAATTTCAAGAAATTCTATCAATTAGTTTCATAGATATGATAAATTTAAAGAGGTGTTAGCATAATGCTTTAAGGTTTAATTACGTGAGGTAAGAAAAGTAATTGTAATTTTCAGTAGCATGGAGTTTATCGTTAGTTTTCTGCATTTATAGAAATTTTAAAAAGCTCGCAGTTGAGGTAATATTAGATTTCCAAAATTCAAATTAAAATTTATCTCAAGGTATTAATTTCTACCACATTCATTATGTTTTGTGTCTTTTTTGTATCTGCTCTAGTTTCGACACCATGCGTTATTATCGGCTTCACGCAAGTTTTTTATATGCTAGTTTTGCCATTAACACTCATTGTCGTCTACATAATAGACGATCTTTACTTCGAAACTCCCTAACTTACAGTCTCTACCGATGTTTTTTACTTTTCCAATAATTTCATCCATTATAACATTAAATAAAACTGGGCTGAGACTATCACCTTATTGGATGCCTGTTGGTATTGGTATAGGTGTCAACATTTTATTTTTGACTTTTATATTATTTATAAAATTGGTATTGACATATTTTATTACTTCAATGATGTTGGCGTTCACGAGGCGTTTTTCAGTAGTCTAATCACATAATGCTATTAGTAAGGGGCGAGTGATTTAGTTGACAGGGATAGGTACTAATGCAAAATAGAAGGTTATCGCCTTAACCTCTCCCTATCCAAAACCATTGTGTATTATATCAAATAATATGCTGGCCGAGCTGTCCCTGCTTGTACAAGACACAATGGATCTAGATTAGAGAAGGCCGAAAAGTAGTCCTGTCATGTAAGGCCAGCAACGTGTTTGACCGATTTCTCAAACACGCTCATAAAAATACAAAAGCCTCGGATAACAATAATAATGGCATCAATTTTTTTCTAACGAAATGAATTATTTATTAGTGTCTAAAAGCTGTTTAAATTACAAGCTCCTCAGGTCTGGTAGAAGTAGACATCCACTATTTTTCTGCGTGTGCAAAATTTTAAAAGTGCTTATAGTTTCACTGCAATAAATGGTTAAAGAATATCAATTTTAGGGTTTTAGGTGTATAACTTTTAGAGGGGAGTGATTGACAAAAACTTTGTTTTACGAAACTAAATTTCTAATATGGATCTATGTACGCATAATTTCAGTTTTCTATCTTCACTAGTGTAAACATTTTTTAAACTTAAGAAAGGTGTAGAAGTTGTGTCTGTCCACGGACTGACGGGGGAATAATATCAGTTTTTTTTCAAAAATTTTTTAAAAAAGTGCTAAAAATGGCCTTTTTAGGATTTTGAGGAGCTATAATTTTTAGAGGGGGGGCAGATGGGTAAAAATTTTCTTTTGCGGAAAAAAGTTTCTAGTAAAGATCTATGTACATACGAAATTTCAGTTTTCTATCTTCACAGGTGTAGAAGTTTTGTAAACAAACATATGGATGACAGGCCTTCCTAACCCGATGAATATGAAACTCATAGAGGAACTAAGAAAGAGCCCTAAATCGATCATAGATATCAACAATGTGTAGAGTCTTGAGACCGTGTAGGTCTTCCATGCTGAATTCCTGGCATTCTTTAGGATACGCAGCTTCGAATTATACCACGGCGGCGACGGTGACAAACACCTATTCATCCAATGAGGAGTTGTGCGGCAAATACAATCGAGCAAGTGGATATAAAAACTAACATGGTCGCGAACAAAACCACCAGATTAAATTAATTCAAATAAACACTGAACCAAATTAATTAGATGGTTCACGAAATAAAAGTTTGTCTTAAGGAAGTCAAATATCGACTCCCCACCAGACAGTCCATCCAAGAAAACGAACGAAGAATATCCAAGGCGAGATGATAATCGTCAAAGCGGCAAAGAGAGAAACCATTAAACGACACCCTAGATCCAAGAGAAACGGGGAAGAAAACCAAAAACCTCATAGTCAGACCATATATCTACTGTATGGAATGCGGTCGGTAAAAACTGTCAATAAGACACGATAATACATATATAAATATGTTATTGCTTATCTATATTTTCTATGGTATTTACTTGTATTGTATTTATATTGGCAACTGATTGGGTCACTTTTGTGTGTACAGAATTTCATTTATTTTACCTCTAATTTGCTTTTATCAATATTCCATATAGGAGTACATCGTTCGTTTTTATGAGTATTGGATCTAGTATGTCGTTCAATTTTACTTGTATTGTATTTATATTAGCAACTGATTCGGTCTTTTTTGTGTGCATAGAATTTTATTTATTTTACCTCTCATTTGCATATGACATTTCAGTACTGCTACAATCAGTTTATTTAAAATTATTTTTACAAATTTTCTTCACTTCGCCAATAAGTTTTTTAATTTCAATATTGCTAAATTTCAATTCATCAAAAAGTTTTTCACTGTAGCTTTCTCAACATTCAGAATATTCACCAAATTTCTTCAACTCACCTACGCTTTTTTACTCTGCACTTCGTGAAGGGTATATTAACTTTGGTATGGAGTTTGTAACTACTTGAAGGAGTCATCTGTGGTATGGACATATATACATATATATATATATTCTTGCGCAGCGTAAAATTCTGCGTCGATTTAGACATGTCCGTCCGTCCGTCCGTCCGATCACACGATAACTCAAAAACGAATAATGCAATCGACACCAATCTTTCACAAGTTGTTTCTTTTGTGCCAAGGACGAACTCTATTGTATTTGGACTAATTCGGACTACGGGTTCGGGTAGCTGCCATACAACTCAAAAAGTTCATTTTAAATATTTCAAAAACTAATAAAGCTATAAATATAACATTTTGTATACATGTGTCCTATTATATTCTAAACATGCTATAAAAATTTTAATGGGATAGCTGCACCTGGGTGGCTGCCATACAAGTTCCAAAGCAAATTTTTTATATTCGGAAAAAAAATAAAGTCAGATTCATGAAACTTGGCAGTTGTGTGTCAAGTTAGAAGGCCAGATATACTTTTGAAGTTTTGGTTGAATTGCTTGGCAGGTTCGGGTAGCTCCCATACAAGTCCAAAAGTTTAAATATTTGGAAAAATAAAGTCAGATTCATGAAACTTGGCAGTTGTGTGTCCAGTTATAAATCAGACATATCCGTGAAATTTCTATAGAATGGTTTCACAGGTTTGAGTAATTGCTATACAACAACGAAAGGTACAGGGTACCTTTCAATCGGTTTATACCGACTGAAACGTTTTTGCTTGTTTAAGTGTCGTTTTACTCATAAAACTAATTTGCCAAGAAAGTTTTGCGTTGATTACATGCATTTGTATTATGTTGTAATAGAAAAAATAATATTTATGTACATGTTAATGAGTACATGTACGTATAAAAATT